GGTCCCGCCGCCCTTGAGTGCGCTGGCGGGAGCGGGGTCACGGGAGGTCAGGCCGGCTGTGCGGGGTCCGCCCGGAGCCGCCGCGGCCCTGGCCCGCTCCCCTCGCAGCCCCACGGCGCCCTGGGCTGGGGCGCGGTGCCCGAGAGGGCCGTGGGCGTCGGAGGCTGCACCGGGTCCCGGAGCGCCCGACCGCTGGCGGCGGGGTCAGAGCGGGGTCCCCGACAGCACCGAGCGGGCACCTGCTGGCGGGCGGGAGTGGGGGCCGCTCCCTGCAGGGCGGACGGCCCTGACCGGCGCTGCTGCCCACAGCCCCGAGGCGGAGCGTGCGCGTCCCCGGCAGGCCCGGCCCGCGGCCCCCATGGAGGGCACCGTGCAGCTGCTGAGCCGGGAGGGGCACAGTGTAGCCCACAACTCCAAGCGGCACTACCACGACGCCTTCGTGGCCATGAGCCGCATGAGGCAGCGGGGCCTCCTGTGCGACATCGTGCTGCACGTGGCTGCCAAGGAGATCCGCGCGCACAAAGTGGTGCTGGCGTCCTGCAGCCCCTACTTCCACGCCATGTTCACAAGCAAGTACCGTCTCTGTGCAGCGTGGTGGTACCCGGAGGGCCCTTTGTGGCACTGGGAGGGCTCTCTGCAGATCTCCTGGCTGGCAGCGGCCTGACCCACTGTCCCCACAGATGAGATGAGTGAGAGCCGCCAGACCCACGTGACACTGCACGACATCGATCCTCAGGCACTGGACCAGCTGGTGCAGTTTGCCTACACGGCTGAGATCGTGGTGGGCGAGGGCAACGTGCAGGTGAGGCTGCCCTGTCCCCACGGCCAGCCCCACCCCCCGCCTCCCCGGCTATGCCCCGGGTCTCCCCACCCCTAGGCCCCTTCTCCTACTCCACCCTCGTCTTTGTGCCCGCAGACTCTGCTCCCGGCTGCCAGCCTCCTGCAGCTAAACGGTGTCCGAGACGCCTGCTGCAAGTTCCTGCTGAGCCAGCTGGACCCTTCCAACTGCCTGGGCATCCGGGGCTTTGCCGACACGCACTCCTGCAGCGACCTGCTCAAGGCTGCCCACAGGTACGTGCTGCAGCACTTCGTGGACGTGGCCAAGACCGAGGAGTTCATGCTGCTGCCGCTGAAGCAGGTAACGTGCCAGCTGGGGCCCAGGGCAGGCCCACGGCCCCCCAGGCCCCTGCCCTCCTCCCCAGGCTCTTACCCATGTTCCAGCCCCACCACCCATCCCCTGGTTCCCCTCACGCCGTCCCCATCTTCTGACCCCATGCAAGCCATCGCCTTTGATCGGTGACCCATCCTGTCCCATCTACCGAGTTCCTGGTCACATCCCCAAGACCGTGCTGGACCCAGGAGTTTAGGCTGTGATTCCTGAGCCTGCCCAGCCCCTCCCTGTGTGAACGCTGAGCCCCTGGCTGGACCCTCCCTCCAAGGCACCTTCAGGGTTCTCTGGGCCCACAGGACCCTCCCCAGGTCTCAGGTCTGAGGACCCCACCCCCAGGTGCTGGAACTGGTCTCTAGCGACAGCCTGAACGTCCCTTCCGAGGAAGATGTCTACCGTGCAGTCCTGAGTTGGGTCAAGCATGACGTGGACACACGCAGGCAGCACGTCCCAAGGGTGAGGTCGGGCTCTGGGGGCTCCTATGGTATTGGGGGCTGCAGATGGCTGAGGACCTCCACATGCCCTGGCCTCCCCACGTTCAGGGCTCCGGTGGGGGGGGGTGCAGGTTCCTATCGCAGGCAGGATCCATCACACAGGTGGTACAGGCACCTGGTGGGGGACGGGGGAGCCTTAGCCCTGGGACGAGCGTGTCTGAGGGCGCTGCCTGATCTTGGCACCCTCTGCACAGCTGATGAAGTGCGTGCGGCTGCCCCTGCTGAGCCGAGACTTCCTGTTGGGTCACGTGGACGCTGAGAGCCTGGTGAGGCACCACCCCGACTGCAAGGATCTGCTCATTGAGGCCCTCAAGTTCCACCTGCTGCCCGAACAGAGGGGCGTCCTGGGCACCAGCCGCACGCGGCCCCGGCGCTGTGAGGGGGCCGGCCCCGTGCTCTTTGCCGTGGGTATGGCCACCTCCTCTCCCGCTCACGTCCCTGGCCCGTGCCTTCCACCCCACCCGGTGCTGGTCCGGTCCTGACCTTCCTTGCCTCCCCTTCTGCAGGCGGCGGGAGCCTGTTCGCCATCCACGGGGACTGCGAAGCCTACGACACGCGCACCGACCGCTGGCACGTGGTGGCCTCCATGTCCACACGCCGGGCCCGGGTGGGGGTTGCTGCTGTTGGGAACCGTCTGTATGCCGTGGGCGGGTGAGCATGGAGGCTGGTCTTGGGTCGGCGTCTGGTGTGCACCCATTAGGCCCACCTTGACCAAGAGGGGGCTCCTCCCCCAGCTACGACGGGACTTCAGACTTGGCTACCGTGGAGTCATATGATCCTGTGACCAACACGTGGCAGCCCGAGGTGTCTATGGGCACGAGACGAAGCTGCCTGGGCGTGGCTGCCCTCCACGGGCTTCTGTACGCAGCCGGCGGCTACGACGGGGCCTCCTGCTTGAACAGGTACAGTTGGGATGAAGCCTCACGGCCTTGCAGTGCCCCGAAGCCGGAGGTGAGGCCCCGTCTGCCCGCGGATAAGTAGAGTCCCTGTGGCCTCGGCAGCACCAGGCCCTTTCTCATCTGGGGTCCTGCTGCCCAGTGCGGGGGCTGCACCCGGTGGACACTCGCCCCAATCGTCAGGCAGCCCCTGGCCTGTGCCCACCAGCAGGCCCTGCCCGTCCACTCCAGTAGGACTTTGGGGTCCTAGTGTCCGTGACTCCCCAGCATGAGATTTCAGCCATTCCGTGGGAGGGCAGGTCCCGGGGACTCTGCTGAGGGTCAGCGGCAGCCCTGGTGCCCACAGTGCTGAGCGCTACGACCCGCTGACGGGAACGTGGACGTCCATCGCTGCCATGAGCACCCGGAGGCGATACGTGCGTGTGGCCACGCTCGGTGGGTGTCGGGCCTGTGCTGTGGGGTGTCCACCCCCCAGACCCCGCACCCAGCAGGAGCACCACGGGTATGTTGGCTTCCTGCAGATGGAAACCTGTACGCCGTGGGCGGCTACGACAGCTCCTCGCACCTGGCCACTGTGGAGAAGTATGAACCCCAGGTGCATAAGGCACCCCTCACAATCACTTCCCCCAGTGCTACCTAGACGCCCACACCCCAAGACGTCCAGCCCGCCATGTCCCAGCCCACCCTGGACGGGGTGTGGGGGGAAGGATGCCCGGAGAAGGGCTGCATCCTGCACGTCCCCTCCCCCTCCAGGTGAACGCGTGGACGCCCGTGGCCTCCATGCTGAGCCGGCGCAGCTCGGCGGGCGTGGCAGTGCTAGAGGGCGCCCTGTACGTGGCAGGGGGCAATGATGGCACCAGCTGCCTCAACTCGGTGGAGAGGTACAGCCCCAAGGCCGGCGCCTGGGAGAGTGTGGCACCCATGAACATCCGCAGGTCTGCGCCAGGAGAGGGGGCTGTGGGGGGAGGAGGTGATCCTCAGAGCCCCTCCCCACAAGAGATGGGTGCCCTCCCCACCCTTCATGGCCCCACCCCCGCACACCGCAACTCACCCTGCCTGCCCCCAGGAGCACACACGACCTGGTGGCCATGGACGGCTGGCTGTATGCCGTGGGGGGCAACGATGGCAGCTCCAGCCTCAACTCCATCGAGAAGTACAACCCGAGGACCAACAAGTGGGTGGCCGCGTCCTGCATGTTCACGCGGCGCAGCAGCGTGGGCGCAGCCGTGCTGGAGCTGCTCAACTTCCCGCCACCCTCCTCGCCCACGCTGTCCGTGTCCTCCACCAGCCTCTGACCCGCCGACGACAGAGGCCCTCGGCCTTCCACATGCCTTAAGGGGGTGCACGGCCCCACCAGGGACACCCCACACCATCTGTCCATGTCTCTGTGTCCGTTGATGTGATCGTTTATTTATTTATTCGTTATTTATTGCTGGGTGAACAGCATTGCAGCCGCGGTTCATGCATTACTCTTGAAACATACGGCTCTCCTGTGTGTCACCCCTACTCTGTGCTTTGGGGGCAGCCGGAGTGAAGCACGCAGGGGCTCACACTTCTTGGGGGACCTTGTGCCCCACTATGTTGATGGAGCAGGAGGGGCAGGGGCGTTCCCAGCAGGTGCAGACCCCAGCCCCCACTTAGCACACGGCTCGGGAAGGGCACAGAACAGCCTTCCTTCCTGTGTCCCTGTCTTTTCTGGACCTTGTACCAAGCACACACATGTGCACACAGACCCTACAGCAATATGAGCCGACTTGAACAATAAACGTGTCCTGGGCTCCATGGGCCTGAGGCTGAGCGTCTGTGTCTGGTGTTCCCTCTGCCTCGTGGGGCTGCAGCACAGCCTTGGGCCAGGTGCACGCTCCAGGCAGAGGGTCTCAGGGCCAGTGCGCAGCAGCTACGGTGGTGCATTGGCGTCTGGGGGCTGCAAGGCAGCACCTTTGCACCCAGGTGGGGCAGGGGCTGTGCTGTCGTGTGGCCCAGCACCCAACCACCAGTGCAGTTTGCTGCCAGCCTGGTCCCGAGGCCTTGAGCCCTTGCCACACCCCAGGCTCTGGGGGTGAGGACAGCGTGGCCCCCTCATCACTACTGACCTGAGTGGCTGGAGGGCATGTTGCTTCCTTCCTGACTCACCTTAAACCTCGGGGTCGCTGACTTGGGCCTGGGGTGAGGATCACCCAGGCAGCAGGGGAGGCTTCCTCTTCCCGGTGCTGGGGAATCCTGCTTGGCGGCGAGTGAGTGCACTCCTAGTCACTGCTGACTCAGATGGGCTCAGGTGGAAACAGGATGTGCGCTCACACTGAGGGGAGGTGCAGCTGGAAGGGGGTCCCTGAGTTCCCCGAGCTACAGCGGGGACACCCGTCCTGACCACAAGCAGGAGGGTGCCGCAGACCCCCGCACAGACGCCCTCTGCTCCTACCCAAGGCTCCCTGCACGTGTGGAGGGCCCAGGACGGGAGCTGGAAGGCTCAGGTAAGGGCCAACCTCTCCCAGGAAAGCTCCACCCTCACCTGCTCTCGGTAGGGGGCAGGACATCCCAGCCCTGCCTGCCAGTGGGAGGCGGGGACAGGAGGCTCGGACAGACAGACCCAGACCCACGGACCCGCCGACCGGCTTGGCTCAGGCGGCTGCCACCCATGGGGAACAGCCACTGCGTCCCTCAGGCCCCCCGGAGGTTCCGGGCCTCCTTCTCCAGAAAGCCCTCGCTGAAGGGGAACAGGTGAGGGCAGGGAGGAGCCTTGGCTGCCAGGTGCAGGGTCTCCCTCGGCCTGCACCTGGGCCAAGCCGTGAGCCCCCTTCCCTTGTCCCCAGAGAGGACAGCGCGAGGAAGCTGGCTGGCTTGTTCGGCACCGAGGCCGCGCGCGACAGGGACACCGCCGCCGCTGACAAGCTCTTCCGTTACATCCCCGGGACGGTGAGCGCAGCGCGCGCTGCTGGAGGGGCCGCCTCGAGCCCCGGGGTCTGTGCGTGGCCCGTGCCACCCGCGGCTGGTCTGCGAGTGTGGTTCTAACCACTCGGTGTGCCTGCGTGTGCTGGCATGTGTGCCCCCTGGCGTGTGTGCCCGCTAGCATGGAGGCTGTGTCTTGGCACAGCTGGGGGGTGTCTGCTTTTGCCCAAGGGCATTGAGACCCAGAGACCCAGGCAAGGAAGCAGCCGCTGCCGCGCCCTGGGGAGCTAGTCTGCCGAGAGTCTGAGCGGGACAGCGAAACTGGGGCCCAGCCTGAGTCAGTCCCACGCCGGCAGGGGCGGGGCGGCCGGGCGGGGCCTCCAGGTCTCCCAGCCGAGCCACCCTGCGCCCCCAAGGGCCTGGTGCGTTGAGTCTGGCGCAGGCATCTCTCGCTATTGCGGGTGGTGTCACTTGAGTTGGGCTCCGGGGGAACATCTGGGCCTCGGTTTCTCTCCAGCGGGTAATGGCGGGAGCTGCTCCTGGGTAGGGGCACCTCAGCCCACAGTGACCCCCGAGTCCCCAGCCGGCTCTCCCGCCCGCCTTCCCAGGCCCCACAGGAAGGAAGTGGCCCCCAAGCACATGCTAGGCCAGCTCTCGGCGGAAGAACACCCCCTGCCCACCCCCACCAGCCCTGCCGGGGGCGGGGCACTGGGTTGGGGACCGAGGTGGAGCCCAGCTGAAGGGCTGAACCTCCCGTACCCCCACCACCACGTGCAGCCCCCACCAGGGGGCGCTTCTGCCTGGGTAGGTGCAGCTCTGCTGTGTGCAGGAACGCAGGCACATCTAGGGGACAGGATGGTTGTGACTCCACACCAGCACTCCTCGGTCCAGACCCCTCCCACCCTGCTCCCATAGCCCCCGCAGACAGGTGCTGCCTCAGAGCAGTGGACGGGGTGGGTCCATCCCCGCCCTGGTGGGGTCCCTTCGTGTGGCCACATCTCAGCCCCTACTCCTGTCCAGGCCCAGGGGGCTGGTAGGGTCCCACAGGGCCTGGTGGCCTAGTGTCCTCTGCCAGGACACAGTGGCTGGAGAGGGGCCAGGACATGTTGAGCCTCAGGAGGTGGGGCTGGGGGACGAGCCGTCCTCAGCTCTAGCTGGCTGCAGGTGGGTCTGGCCCTGCCACAGCTCCAGCGGAGCCCTCCCGGGGCCGCGAAGTTGAGCCCGGCCGCAGGACCAGCTGCTTGGCCCTTCCTGATTTGTGGCCGACTTTTCATGGTGCCATCCTGGCGTCAGTTCCCACACTGGGTGTGGGTGCAGGAGGCCCCGCCCAGAGGCAAGATGGCCACACGTCTGTTCACATTCCTGGGCTTACCCAAGGGGCAGCTCGGTGTGGTCGGGGCACCACAGCCCATGTCAGGGCCTTGCCAACTTTCGAAGGGAGTGTGACTCCCAACTTAGCCCAGCCTGGGAATCACACCCCTCACCAGACCCCTGTGACCCCTCGTCTGTGATCAAACCCCCATTTAGGACTGGCCGAGTGTGCTGGGGACGACCCTCCCTCCCTGTAGCACGCCCCAGGCCCTACCCTAGGCCTGGGGTCAGGAATGAAGGAGACGGACAAAGACTGCCCCCTTCCCGTGGCAGAGACAGGGCCGGACAAGTCAGTGAAAGAGACGGCAAGGCAGACCGGGGTCCGTGCCGAAGAGAGGAGTGGGCACAGGGCTGCCGAGCACCAGGGGAGGCTGGAATCTGGAGGGTTTCCAGAGGAAGCCTCGAGGAGAAGGTGGTCCCTGAGCAGAGCCCTGGAGTGAGGATGGCGCTGGGGCTGGGTAGGCAGAGGGAGGGAAGAGGGGGCAGGTCGCAGAGGCCTCCTCAGGGCGTCTGCGGGGAGACCGAGGCAGACCAGGCGTGCTGCGGCGGGGCTCGGGGAGCCTCCTCTGGTATCGTGCTGGTGGCTCGACGGGCTGTGGGGCGGGGGGGACTTGCACGAGGACACTGGCAAACAGTTTGAGTCAGGGCCTTTGTTTATTTGTGTGTGTTTTGTAGATCCGGGTGTGGAAGGTTCACCAGCTGATGCTGGAGACACGGGAGGGTTTGGAGCGTCAGCATCTTCCCACCCAGATGCCCCAAACTCCTCTGACAAGTCTCAGGAGGTTGAGTAACCAAAACGAGGTTACCCGGCTTGGGAAACTGAAGATAAGGGTTGAATCCACAGAGTGCAAACCTCACAGCGTCAACCTCTGTGTGGGGGGGGGTGTTCTGCCACCACCGTGTCTCCACCTGCAGGGGCTGTGCGTGTGCAGGACCCTGTACGTACGTGTGAAGGTCTGTGTGTGGCTGTGCGTGGCAGACCGTGCCTGCGTGTCTGTGGCTGTGTGGACATTAGCTGGGGCTGGGGGCCCGGGCCAGGCCTCCTCCCTGATCTCTGCTCCCCCCAGGACATCCCGGGCCTGGAAAGTCAGCCGGAGCCCCTGGAGCAGCCGTTCCTGAGCGTGTTCAAGAAGGGGCGGCAGAGGGTGCCTGTGAGGAACCTGGGCAAGGTCGTGCACTACGCCAAGGTCCAGCTGCGGTTCCCGCACAGCCAGGTGGGGCCGGTGGCCAGGCAGGGCGGGCTCAGGGAGACAGCGTCCCCGCCAGCCTGGGACTGCCCCCAGACGCTCAGACGGGGGGCCTTGCTCTCCCCGCAGGACGTCAGCGACTGCTACCTGGAGCTGTTCCCCTCCCACCTGTACTTCCAGGCCCACAGCCCTGAGGGACTCACTTTCCAGGTGAGGCAGTAGGCAGTGGGGTGGGGGGTGCATCCGACTGTCCCTCCGCAAGTCCCTGCAGCCCCGCCCTGTGCCCTGGCAGGGGCTGTTACCACTGACGGAGCTGAGCGTGTGCCCGGTCGAGGGGTCCCAAGAGCATGCCTTCCAGATCACAGGTGTGTGGGGGACGCCCCCCGGCCCCCAAAGGTGCCTCCTGGCACAGGCCCTGGGGGGCTTCCCTCTGGGCCATGGGGCTCCAGGCTCTGCCCAGCCCAGCCCTCTCTGCCCTTCTGCCCGCAGGCCCGCTGCCCGCACCCCTCCTGCTGCTCTGCCCCAGCGAGGCGGAGCGGGACCGCTGGCTTTACCACCTGGAGAAGCAGGTGGCCCTCGTCAGGGGGCTGCAGCGCTGCCACTCAGCTCCCCCGCAGGTCAGTGCCGGGGACCCAGTGCCCTTCCCCGTCCCAGCCCTCCAGCCTGCCTTGACTTTCCCCTCACCAGGGCCCCCCCCAGGACGAGCTCCCCTGGACGCTGCAGCACCACCTAAGCCGGCTGCGGACAGCCTCGGGGCGCGAGTTGGTGGGCAGTGCCGTCTGTGCCTCCAGGGTCAGGCTGCAACACCTGCCTTCCCAGGTGGGTGGGAGGGGTGTGGGACTCTGGGGAGACGGGGGGGGGGGGGGGGGGGGGAGGACAGGGCCGGCCCGGGGCGCCCAGCACCAGCCCCCGGACCCCTGACGTCCCCGCAGGAGCAGTGGGAGAGGCTCCTGGTCCTGTACCCGGCCTCCCTGGCCATCTTCTCGGAAGAAACAGACGGGCTTTGCTTTAAGGTGGGTCCCTCCCCCGTGGCCCGGGCCAGGGAGGCACCGGTGTGGGGGCAGGTGGGGGCCGTGACTCAGGAGGAACCTGAATGTCTGGGCCTGCTGGGACAGAGTGCAGGGCCCCGCCCACCCGGCCCCGCTGCCCTGGTCAGTCTGGTCTCAGCCCCGATGTGAAGGAGAGCCCTGCCCCGAGTATCCTGTGTCACCCACGAGGGTCCTGGGCCACCAGCCGAGGATGGGCGGCATAGCAGTGGGAGCCCTGCTGGGAGTCACTCGTGTGCTCTTGCCCCGGGAGGGCATGTGCATGCGTGTTCACACGTGTGTAGTGCACGTCCTCTGTGGCTGGAGCACGTTGGTGGCACACTCAGAGTGAACTTCAGTGACCGACAAAAGCACAGGGCATCCCTGTGACCCTCCCCCCGTGTTAGTGGGTGACTCCAGGGCACCAGCAAGCGTCCATCTGTGTCTGCCCCGGCTGGCCTTGGCCCCACAGAAGGCCGCCCGGCCTGCCCCACGGCATCTGCCTGGTGTCTGGCGGTCCGAGTTCCAGCCCAGCTCTGAGGCCGGGCAGGGCAGGTGGCTGCACGGCGGAGGCCGGTCCTCACTCGCTGCCCCGCAGGGGGAGCTCCCGCTCAGCGCTGTCGGCATCCAGCTGGAGGAGGAGGAGAAGCAGGCCCACTCGTTCCTGATTGAAGGTGCGGCTGACCCTGGCCTCTGCCCGTCAGGCCGCTGGGAGGGCAGGGAGGGCGTGAGCCTGGCAGACACCCCAGCTCTTTGGGGGTTCTGTGGGGTGCACCACTCCTCACGACGTCTGTGCGCCAGGGCCCCTCATCAACACCATCCGCGTGCTGTGCGCCAGCTACGAGGACTACAGCCACTGGCTGTGCTGCCTGCGCACCATGTCCCGCAGGGACCCGCGCCCGCCGTCCAGCGCAGAGGGCGTCCCGGGGCGCCAGGTGCCCCCACAGGTGAGGCCCTGGGCAGTGGCGGCAGCAGGGCAGAGGCTGGATCCCAGCGCAGTGGGTGGGGGAGAGTCTGGCGCGGCTCACCCCTGGCTGCTGGGCTGTGGGCGGCAGCCGGGGCTCACTCTCCGCGGATGGACAGGCCAGCTGGGGCTCGGGATGCCCGGTGCCCCCCTCCACCCGCACCAGCCACTCCCTGCCTGGGTCCTCGGTGCCGGCCCAGCCCGCACTCGTGAGTACCTGGGGGTGACGGAGGGAAGGGGGAGGAGGCTGTGAGGCAGGTGCGGGGAGGCCTGGACCCTTGTTCCTGGGGGTGGACTTGGACTGGGGGGAGCTCCCCACAGCCTCAGAGATTTGCCTGGGAGAGGGTCCGGGGGGCTTTCTGGAAAGTTCCTGGTCCCCACAGGACCAGGCTAGCCCTGTCTGCACCAGCATTAGCTGTCGGAGGGCAGAGCTGAGACGCAGTGGCAGCAGCCGGTCTCCGAGGAGCAAGGCCGGGGCAGAGGGGCCAGGCACGGCCGCCCCACGGCACCTGCGCCTGGACCTGACCGAGGTGGGCCCAGCTCCTGCCCGCTCTCCCCCCGGCCCCGTCTCCCAGCCCAGCTGGTCCCGCACCGTCTCAGGCCTCTTGCGCAGATGAGAAGGCGCAGGCTACTGCCAGCCGCAGAAACCATCTCTCCCGCCCCTGCCCTGCAGCTGAGCAGGCTGAGCCTGGAGGGCGGCCCTGAGGCCCCAGACCACACCCTGGAGACGCCACACTCCCCGCTCTACGCTGACCCCTACACTCCGCCCGCCACCTCCCACCGCAAGATCACAGACGTCAGGGGCCTGGATGAGGTCAGTCCCCTGCGGGTGGCAGAAACGGGAAGCAGGGGTTCCTGGGGGAGGGGTCCCTGGCTCCATGGGGATCCCAGCACAGGCCTCGGTTGCTCACCCTCCCCCGGCAGTTCCTCAGTGCCCTGCGGAGCTGCCCCGGACCTGCGCCCTCGAGCCCGTTCCCCTCCGTGCCCGTGTCTGTGCCTGTCTCTGACCCTGGCTCCGGACCCTCCAGCTCCCCCGGCCCCCCCGGCCCCCACTTGCTCTCCAGGAAGGGGGCCCTGCAGTCCCGCGCCGCTCAGAGGCACCGGGGCTCTGTCAAGGGTGGGGGGCCGCAGCGCCCAGACTCTCCTCAGCTTGTGAGTAGCACCCCGGGCTTGAGGGGCACCGTGGGGGCCTCCTGGACTCTGCGGAGCAGGAGAACGTGGGAACGGAGCCTGGGCAGGGAGGAGAGCAGCGTGGGGAGGGCGGCGCAGGCAAGGCAGAGGTAGGTCTGTGCCCCCCGCCCCAGGCTCTGCCCCACTCTCAGGCTTGTGGTTTGGGCTTCCCAGGTCGCCCCTGCCAGGGAAGGCTCCCCGGCACCCCTGCCGCCTCTTGCAGGTGAGTGAGGGCCCCGCTTCCTCCCAGGTGGGCAGCGGTGGCTTCCTGCGCCAACACATCTCTGCCTTCCCCAGCGGATGACAGGTCCCCCAGGAGGCGCGAGGGCCCAGGCTACGACAATAGCTGGAACAAGATGTCGTCTCCCTCCCAGCAGACGTGGGCCCGGCTCGGGGAGCCTGGGGCTGAGGGGGTGGTCGTCCAGTGGATCTGACACCCACAGGGCTGCCGCTCAGGACCACCTGTGCTCACGGGCCGGGCTGCCCGGGACCCACATCAAATTCCAAGTGAGGGGCTGACTCCAGAGCCCTGGCCCGGCTCCCCTGCTGCCCCTGCAGCTGTAGAGCCGGGAGGGCCTCTCCCAGGCTGCCCTGGCTGGCGTGGCCAGACCACAGGTCAGGGTGGAGGTCAGGCAGGTCGCCCCTTGGCTCTGCCCCCAGGAGGGATGTGGGAGGGACCTGAGTGGGAGAGCGGGTGGGCGTGAGGGTCAGAGGTCAGCAAGTTGTGAGCTGGCACAGGCAGAGGCGGGGGTGTCCCAGCATTGCCTGGGCGCGTCTGCGGCAGGCTGGTGTGAGTTGCTGACACCACTAAATGAGAAAAAGCAGAGGTTTTATTGGTGCTGTGTGTCTGCGCTCTCACTCAGCAGCGGGGGTCTCCCACCGTCCCTGTGCTCCGCCGCCACGGCCCCTCACCCCGTCTCCAGCTCCTCGGCCCTGGGCCCCCAGCTGCCCCCAGGGAGCCCCAGGGCCCCGTCCCTCCAGCTGACGCCAGCAGCTCAGCCTCCGCACCCTCGCCCAGCGTCCCCAGAGGAGGGGCTCCAGGCTCTGCCCCAGACCCCAGGCCAAGGGGCATCTGGAGCCCCTTCGGACACGCCCGTCTGGTGCCAGCTCTCTGCCTCAGCAGGCCTGGGGCTCCAGGCAAGAGGGGCCTTGGCACCCTTGCCAGCCCAGCCCACCCGCGAGCAGGGCCGTCTCCGGAAGCCCCGAGCCTCGAGGCCCCCGGCATCCTTGCCTTTGCCCCCTGCCTAGGCCTCAGCAGGGCCTTCCTCCCACCTCCTCCACACACCGGATGAGCACAGGGTGCCGACCAAATACGAGTTCGGGTGACAAACGGTTTCCCAGGATAAGTATGTCCCAAATACCGCGTGTTTGGAGTCCAGCCTCACTGGTACCCTGCGTGACATGACAGTCTGGCCGCCCTACTCACCAGCTCCCCCTCAGCCTCTTCCCACACAGACTTCCAGGGGCTCCCCTCCCAGGGGCGGGAGCAGCCTCGGCGGTGGCTGGACCCCAGGCTGAGTCGAGGCCGCAGCACCCGGGACTGCCTCCCCCGCAGACGCTTGTCGTCCTCTCCATGTCCTGGGTCTTCTTGGGCCGCCGGGATCCTAGGAGCTGGGGCTGCGGCTGGGGCTGGGGCTGGGGCTGCGGCGCCCTCGCCTCACCTGCCGGCGGAAGTGGCGGATGGCGGAGATGGTGCCAATGTTGGCCAGCAAGACTGCAAGAAGCACAGGGTCTCCTGAGGGCCAGCTCCGGCCTGCCAGCACCGTCTGGGTCCCCCCACGCACCCTCCGCCTGCCAGCCCTGGACCCGCTGCTCTCATCTGATCTCCAGGCCCTGGCACCCCCGTCCCCCAGCGCCCCCAAACCTGTTTTCCAGGCGTCTGGGGAATGCAGATCTGATGTTCTCACAGCCCAGGTGGCAAAGGCTACAAACACCAGGCACATGTCGTTCTGGCTGAAGGTAAACGGGGTGAGGGGACCCCGGAGCTCCCCTAGGAAAGAGAAGCGTCCCTCAGTTGCAGCTGCTCCTCTGTGAGATGCGGCTGTCCCAAGAATCACCTGTCCCAGACGTGTCTGCCCTGGTCACATCTGTCCTGGGACACGTCTGCCCTGGTCACGTCTGCCCTGGTCACGTCCCTGGTCACGTGTGTCCTGGTCATGTCTTCCCTGGGACACGTCTGCCTGGTCACATCTGCCCTGGTCACATCCGTCCTGGGACACGTCTGTCCTGGTCACGTCTGCCTGGTCACGTCTGCCCTGGTCATATCTGCCCTGGTCACATCTGTCCTGGGACACGTCTGCCCTAGTCACGTCTGCCCTGGTCATGTCCGTCCTGGGACACGTCTGTCCTGGTCAGGTCTGCCCTAGTCACGTGTGTCCTGGGACACATCTGCCTGGTCACGTTTGCCCTGGTCATGTCTTCCCTGGGACACATCTGCCTGGTCACATCTGCCCTGGTCACATCTGTCCTGGGACACGTCTGCCCTGGTCACATCTGCCCTGGTCACGTCTGTCCTGGGACACGTCTGCCTTGGTCACGTCTGTCCTGGGACACGTCTGCCTGGTCACATCTGCCCTGGTCACATCTGTCCTGGGACACGTCTGCCCTGGTCACATCTGCCCTGGTCATGTCTTCCCTGGGACACGTCTGCCTTGGTCATGTCTTCCCTGGGACACGTCTGCCTGGTCACATCTGCCCTGGTCACATCTGTCCTGGGACACGTTGCCCTGGTCACGTCTGCCCTGGTCACATCTGTCCTGGGACATGTCTGCCCTGGTCATGTCTGCCCTGGTCACGTGTGTCCTGGTCACGTCTGTCCTGGGACACGTCTGCCCCGGTCATGTCTGTCCTGGTCGTGTCTGCCCTGAGAATCATCTGCCCAGACGTGTCTGTGTGAGTCACCTCTTCCCCACGATATCTCTGCCCTGAGACACAGGGCAGCCTGTGACATGGTTGAGTCAGGCCGGTTTGGGCAAATTGCCTCTGGAGTCCTCTCCCTCCTGCTCTGTGAAACATCTTGCAGAGGGGATGTGAGATGTCATCTCATCGAGGGTCCGACCCAGAAGGTGGCAAGGCCTGGGTGGGGCACCTGTCCCCCGGGGCCAGGGGAGGGCGCTGCTGCCATCTGGGCCTGAGTGCAGGGCCAGCGCCTGGCCTGGGCTGCCCTGTCTGGACTGTGTCCCCAGATGCCTGGGCTAGTCCTTCCCTCCCAGCTGGTCCCCGAGTCCCCCACCTGAGGCTGACGACCCAGGGTCTGGCCTGCCCCTCCCCATCGGCCCTCTTGGCCGAGCTCCTTGGACAGAGTGTTCCCAGGACCTAGACGGGCCGCGGGACCCACGCACACGCACCTGCCCGCCTGACCGCCAGGGCGAGCCGCTCTCCTCGGGTGGGGCCGGGAGTGGGTGGGGCCCTGGGCCCCGCTCCCAGGGAGACCGACCCGGGGGTCTCTGAGGCCTGGAGCTGGAGCAGGGTGGCTGGCCCCAACTCGCCCCCAAACCTGTCTTCCCCGAAGAAGTGTTCGTAGGCCTCGGGGATGGACATGGGCACGGGGTCTCCAGGCGGAGGGGCCGGCACAGGCTCCCTTGGGGATGGGGCTGGGGAGCAGGACCGCCGGGGCCTCGGCCTCTGGGCTTGGCAATCCCGGAAGAAGAACTCGCACATGTCTGGCCACTGGGCTTCGGCCGGAACCTGGCTGCCCGCTGCCACCTCCTCAGGATCTTCCTCCTCTTCCTCGATGGTGTCGCAGAAAAAGAACTCATAGGCCTCTGGGAGGGTCATGGCAAAGCAGCTCCTGGGACCCAGTGTCCCCAAGGCAGAGGGGGCTGGGGGGGGCAGGTGCTTAAGGATGCGAGGCTTGGGGGGCCGGGGCCCGACGGCCATAGTGTCCCAGGCCCTGGGCCCTCCGTGGCCCCCAGGCGCCATCCTGGGGGCTGAGGGTCGGGCTGTGGCTGGCGATGGGTGCTCCGAGGCCCCCCCTGATCCTGGCTCCCCGGGGCTGGGCAAGGCCATGGAGAATCGGACTTTCTTCTTCCTGGGGGCTTGGACGGAGCCCCCGTGGTGCTCCCCCGAGGGGTGTCCAGGGACCCCTGCTAAGGGCTCCTCACTGGGCTTCGCTGGGGGACCCCCTGGAGACACAACCTCTGTCTCCACCACACCAGGCCCGGGCTGGGGGGCAGTGGAGCAGGACAGGGCAGCAGCATTAGCGTGGGGAGCAGGTGTGGACACACCCACATCCGACTCGACCCTCGAGACAGAGTGAGGCAGAGCTGCACACAGGACAGCCGCTGAGGCACATGTCGATGCAGCCACTTCTGGCTCGACCCCTGGGCCTACTGTAGACAGATCTACATCCAGTCTGGACTCGCAGGCGGGTGTAGACAGAGCCGTGTCAGGTGGAGGTTCAGAAGACGGTGTAGACGGAGCCGTGTCGGGTGGAGGCTCAGAGGCAGGTGTAGACACAGCCACATCTGGCTTAGCCATTGCGACATCTGGATGAGCCTCCTTGGCAGATGTGGACACTGGGTGTATCTCGGCTCTAGGGGTCATTCCCATTTGCTCTGTACCTTGCTCAGTTGTAGAGATAGGTGTAGACAGGTCCAAACCTGGCCCTCGTCTGGCGACCAGCGCAGGGGCACTTGAGCCAGGCCCGGGAGCTCCTGCAGAGTCTGGCCCCAGCTCGTCCTGCCTGGCCCCGGCTGCCAGCGTTGCTGCCCCTGCCTCGGGACCCTTCCTCCTGGGCCCAGCTGGGCCAAGGCCCTCCTCAGGCCGGGCCGTGAGCGGCGGGGAGCCCAGCCGGGCAGGGGCAGGCCCTGGGGTTCCCGGGCTCCCGCCCGCCTTGGCGCCCACGGCTCGCCTCTTCTTTCGGCTGGGGCTCCGAGGCAGGCTTCTGGGGCTGTTGGGGGGCCCCTGTGGGGTGGTGCTGTGGCCAGGGGACCCGGGACTCAGTGGGGGGTCCCCGGGGGCGCTAGGGGCAGGGCCCTGCAGGAGCCTGTGCATGTCGTCTCTGGAAGACACTGGCCCCAGGAGGGCTGAGCCAGGAGGGTTGGCACCGGAGCTGAGAGACGGCCAAGGTCCTGGCCGTGCGGACGTGCCGGGTGTCTGCTCAGCAGCCCCCACGGCCAAGACGAGCTCGCACCGCGACCTGCTGACCGCCTCCCCGGTGGCTGCGTCCTCCTCCTCCTCGCAGGCCGGCTGCCCAGTAGGGAGGGGCAGGAGCCCGAGGGGGCCGCTGCTGTCCCCTTGGTCAATGTCACTGGACAAGAGCTCGTCCCCGGAGGCTAGGCCAGCCTGCAGGAGGCCACACTCTTCCGTGGTAGCCGAGAACTCAGCCCAGTCTTGGTCGCTCAGCTGCACGCTGTACTGGAAGTTTTCCATGTCGGGTCAGCGGGGACGCTGCAGGGGCCGGGCAGCATGGCCGCAGATCCAGGCCCCAGGCGCCGGCCCGCACCGGCCGTCACTGCCCAGCCCGGCCCAGGGGCACCCCCCATGCCAGCATGACATCGCCCCTGAAGGGAAGAGAACAGGTCCAGAGGGAGTTAGAAAATCCCAATCACACCTTCTCTATTTCCAAGCTGACCCCAGATGATAACTCTGTCACGACAACTTGTCACATCAGTAAAACCGAGCGTGGCTCCGTATTAGAGAAGGCCACCAGCCACCATGTTCCAGTTGGTTCGCTCCGTCTCTCTCGGTGGCCTCGCCTCCTCGACCTTCCTCTGAAGCTGCCGGTGCCACGGCCGACTCTATGCAGCAAAGCCCATTGCCGGGACCTCCCACTGGGGTCGGTTCCCTGGGGTGGTCAGCCCTGGCCTGGCCCCGCATGCCCTGGTGGCAGCTGGCTGCAGGGGGCTGTGATGTCCGGCAGGTGACCAGCCCTCTCAGCTGGACCGGCCCGTCGTCAGGATTCCTCTGAGCGCACCAAGGTCACGCTGGTGCTGGCCAGAGCTGGCTTAGAGGTCAGCAGGGAGACTGGGGCTGGAGGTCACAGAGCAAGGAGCCTTCTGACCCCAGCAGCACCTCGGCGCCACCCTCAGGGTCTGCACCCCCCAGGCATGCCCAGCGGCTGAGCCTTCTTCTTCTGCTCTGTCTCAGGGAACCAAGGTGACCCTGGCCAGCCTCAGGGTCTACTCCCTTAAGGGGCTGCCCTTCGGCCTCCAGTCAGCTACCTCTGGACCCGGGGTGGACGGTCCCTCTGGCTGCGACAGTCCTGAGACAGAGAAGACTTGAGCCCAGGGCACCACGGCTACGTCCTGACGTTCGCCCTCCTCTCAGCCCTCCAGACATCTCTGTGGGGCTGTCCACCATGGGGACCCCTTAGGTCAGGGCTCAGCCCCTGCCCGTGTCCTACCTGGGATCTGGCAGCCAGCTGGGTGTCTGAGCTGCCCGTCCAGGGCGGCATGGTGCCGGGCTCCCCACCGGGCTCCACCCCCACTGCCAAAAATACCCTGCAAGTCACATGTGACTCGTGCCCGCCGACAGGCTCCAGGCCACAAATAGATGGCATTTGATCCAGCACCACAAGGGATGTCTTCCCAGCACAGGGCCAGGCCAAGGTTGGGTCAGACACGGGCCAGAGCATGCTGACCCGCAATCAGCACTGCACGCCTCCCGTTCCCAAGCTGAAGGCCCCTCTGCCTCCTTCTCCCCCCAAGAAACCTCAGACCCACCCCACCCGCAGCCTCTGGAATGTCCGGCCCCACGTTGGAGATGGCACAGCACCCTGGACAGGCTGGCACCTCCCTGGCCTGACCCCCAGGGGCTCACGTGAGCCCCCAGCACCGTGGCTGAGCCTTCCAGCGGTAGGCACTGCAGGCTGTTGGTGGAGAGCCCCCAAATGAGCACGGACCCCGGGCCCTGGGAGAGGGTTGGAAGGTTCAGGGGAAAACAGTGGGTTCACTTTCTGCCAGCATCTCTCCTGACCTTGGGCTGTGGACAGCACCCAAGATGGGCGCACAGAGGCTGCCTCCCTCCAGGAAGGGCGTCTGGTGCTGCTGCCCAGGTGGGCCGGTCTCAGGAGGAGCCTGGAGGGTGGCAGCCTCTGTGCCAGGCCCCCTCGAGCACTTCTCCATCAACTCATGCATGCTGAGAGGGGGCACAGAGAGGCCGAGTGACTCGGACATGGCCACACAGCCAGTAGGGGGCAGAGGTGAGCCCCAGAGGTCCTGCTGGTACCTCTGCTCCAGCTGCAGGGGGTGGTCCTGCCCCACACCCCGGCTGTCCTGCCTTGGGGCCTATGGTGCCCCTCCCCAAGCAGGTCCTGAGCTGGGGACAAAAGGACAGGGTGGGCGGAGTCAGACAACATCTAATTGAACTGGTAACTAAGCTCATCTCTGCAGCAACACATTCCGAGAAAGAAAAAGGGGGCCTCTGAGGAGGGGGCCGTGGACCACAAGGCTTACGGTCTGGACACAAGATTTGGGGCCAGCGCTGTGAGGGGTGGCAGCGTCGCCTGGGAGGAGCGAGGGCTCCGGCTTGCAGGAGGCGCACCGTCAGTGCCCCAGTAAGTCCCCTCCCTGACCCCAGGGGCTGCCCAGGCGAGACTGGAGACTGGCGCGGCTGGACCTCCGCAGACGGGACCCACCTGCTGACCTGTCTTCCCGAGCTCCCTCTCACCTCGCTTCGCGCCCTGCATACGGGCTGCCCCGAGGGCTCCGGCACCTTCACTGCCCAGGCTGTCGAGTGGGGCTGCGTCTGTCTCCCTGAGGACGGAGGCTGGGTCAGCGCCGCTGTGAGCGTGCTGGGACGTCGGGGCCGGCAGTTCTCCCAGGCTGCTGTGCCGGCGCGCGCCCCGATCGCAGGACGAGGGGTTTCCTGCACAGGGCATCTGTGGGCATCGTGCCCCACGGTGGCGTTGCGTCGTGGTTTCAGTTCGCATCTCCTTAGTGATTGGTTATCAGCCGCCGGCTGCCTCCTGTGCAGATATCTGTCTTCAGTGGCTGCCACTGTCCTCGTCCGGGCTGACTTGTCAGAGCTGCACAGATTTGTCAGCTGTCTGGGTTGTTGTACGTCCTGGACAAGAGTGCTTCACCGAGCGTGCAAGGAGCACACTCTCCCTCTCTGCCTCCACTTTTCACTCTCTCAGCGGTGTTTTTGATGAAAAGAAGATTTCAATTTTAACATAATACGGTTTAGCAACAATTTCGTTTATGGTTAGCACAAGCCTTTTTCTATCCTTTTAAAAAACTCTTTGCCTGTCCCCAAATCATGAAGACACCATGAAAATATTCTTGCATTTTTAGAAAACTTCACTGTCTCACCTTTCACACCCGATATTCGTTTTCATGGGTGGCGGGAGGTGGGGTCACGCAGCCCCTCTTTGCTTCCATGTGGACACCGGGTCAGAACAGTACCACATCCTACAGAGACAGGGCCGTGTCACCTTCGGGTCCAAGCACTTGTCCGCAGGGGCACGGTGGCCGAGCCCCACCTGGACTCCCGTGCCATGAGAAGGCTCTGGGACTTGGGGCAGGGGGTGATGCGGCTTCCAGACACTTCCCTGGCCAGGTCCGAGGGGAGGCAGGGAGGCTGGCCCAAGGCTGTGGGGCAGGGAGCCCGTGGCGGGAGGTGGTCCATCTTACTGTGAGGCTTTTAAAGACAAACTGCCACTGGAATTGACTTGAGGCTTCAGAGGGAGGCACTTTCCTCCGCTCCCATCCCAAGCACCAACCTTCCTGGTGGGGGTGGCCAGGGGATGTCTGCGTGGGCGGAGGAAACCAGGGAGGGCTCTATCGAGCATCACGTGGCAGCACTCTCAGCCCAGGAAGGAATAACGTGCCGCATTAGTGACCCACCCCTACGGTGAAGGATTAATTCTCGGCGGAGGTTGGTACCGGTGCAGTGGGCACGAGTGGGCGGGTGGAAGGATGGCGGGCTCAGGAGGATTCCCTGGGAGGACACAGAGCCGGGTCTCGGCCTGCTGTGCCCCCAGCGGCCACCAGAGGGCAGCAGGACTCCACCGGACGCCTACAGGGCGATGCGGACCGGACCCCGCCGCCGCGATCCCCACCTTGGCCGGCGGAGTGGGGTCCCGGGCCCTGCCCCATTCCCGCTGGCCAGAAAAGGCGCGAGGGGTGCTACCTGAGCGATTGCTAGGCCCCTTTCCTGAAGTCACGTAGCCCTTTTCAAGCCCTTGACTTTGAAACAGTCAGCTCTCAGGAATGAGAACTAATTTTCAATGAGCAAGTATTACGTGCCAGTACACTCTTAAATGCTTTACACAGATACGGGGTTTTTCTTCTTATTTTTTAATAGCCTTATTGAGGTGTGATTAACACACAATAAACTTCAAATATTTAAAGTGTACAATTTTCCAGGTTTTGACGTATGCATACACCTGAGAAACATCTCCATCACCCCCGGAGTTTCCAAGGGCCCTTTGGCAATTCTTCCCTCTTGTCTCCCTGAGGAGGAGACCACTGGTCTGCTTTCTGCCACGACAGAGTAGGTCACATTGTCTAGAATGTTGCATAAAAGGAGTCACAGTACGTACTCGTTTGTGCCATACAAAAGGGTACAGTGTGTCTTCCCATTCCAGCAGCTATAGCTAAAAAACAAAAAAGAAAAGAAAAAAAGAGTACAGTATGTCTGTCTTCTGTTATAGTGTAATTGTTGTAATATTCATCCATACCTATGCATATGTCATAGTTGTTGTGGGTTTTGTTTTGCTTTTTTGAGACAGGGTCTCACTCTGTCTCCCAGCTGGAGTGCAGTGGCATCATCACAGCTCATTGCGACCTCAAACTCCCGGGCTCAAGTCATCCTCCCGCCTTGGCCTCCCAGAGTGCTAGGATCACAGGCGTGAGACACAGGGCCTGGCTGTAGTTTTGATTTTAATTTCCCTATTGGCTAATCATGTTGAGCATCTTTTCTTGTGCTTATTGGCCATTTGTATCTTCTCTGAAAAAATACCTATTCAGATTTTTTACTCATTTTTTATTAATAGTTGGGCTATTTGTCTTTTTACTATTGAGTTGAAAGCGTTCTTTATATAGTCTTGATACAAGTTCCTTGTCAATATATATTTTGCCAATATTTTCTCCCATTCTATATGATGTCTTTTCACTTTTTTGATAATGCTATTTGAAACACAAAAAGTTTTTAATCTTGAGGAAATCCAATTTATCTACTTTTTCTTTTGTCACTTAGCTTTTGGCATCTGACTTACTCAATTTCGTGCTACTATAACAGAATACCTGACCCTGGGTATTTATTGCAAATAGAAATTTACTTTTCACAGTTCTGGAGGCCAGAAAGTCCAAGATCAAGGTGCCGGCATCTGTTGAGGGTCTTCTTGCTGTGTCATTCCGTGGTGGAAGGACAAAGGGAAGGCAAGAGAGAGAGCAGCACGAGGTGGCTGGACCTCCATTTATAAGGAATTCACTCCCACAATAATGGCATGAACCTATTGATGCGGGCAGAGCCCTCATAACCTAAACACCTTTTGAGGGTCCCACCTCCCAACACCTTAGCATTGGGGACCAAGTTTCCAACACACAAACTTTAAGGGGCACGTGCAAACCACAGCAGCGTCATATCTAAGAAGGCTTTGTCCAAGGTCTTTCACAACCCAAGACCAGGAAGATTTACTGTTATATTTTCTTCTAAGAATTTTATAGCTTTAGCTCTTACATTTATGTCTACCATCCACTTTGAGTTAATTTTTGTGTATGATGTGAGTAAGAGGTCCAACTTTGCTCGTTTGCACATGGATAGTTAGGTACCCTAGCATTGTTTGCTGAAGATTATTCTCTCCCCCATTGAATTCTCTTGACACCCTTGTTGAAACTCAGTTAACTGTAAATACAAAGCCATGTGCACATGGGCTCCAGGGCTGACACTATGCATGTCTCGCAGGCACTTGTGTGCACACATGCCCGTGGAAGACATGGCTCACGAATGCGGACAGGCACACACGCCCGCACACAGCGCTTCCCGTATGTGCAGGCAGGAGCACGTGCACACGAGGACACCTGCACACCACCTGCTCCCCTTTACATCAGTGGCTGATAATGTCGCATGTTTTCTGGGGCTTGTGATGTGCTCTGGAGCCCAAGGCAGGACATGCCCCACCCAGCCACCATCTCCTCTCACTGTGCAGGGTCAGAGCTCCAGGCAGGGGTGGTCCAGATGGACCTCAGCGTTCTGGGCCTCGGGCTGGATGCAGTCAGTCTCCCCACCCAGGAAGAAGCTGTCCAGCTAGACTGGGGCAGGAGCTCAGATTTGAGGCTCAGGATGAGTTCACTGGGGGTTGTTTGAAGAAGACCAAGATCCATAGGCCCCACGGCACAGCCACATGCCAACCTGAAGACAGTCCCTCTGTCCATCTGGGGAGGGTCCCTGTGTCTGTCTTGGAAGAGTTCCTGTGTCCATCTGGGGAGGGTCCCTGTGTCTGTCTTGGAAGAGTTCCTGTGTCCATCTGGGGAGGGTCCCTGTGTCCATCTGGGGAGGGTCCCAAAGTGCTAGGAAGGATCCACTTCTAAACTCACTTTCCATGGGCAAAGACAGCTGGCTTCCCCCAGAGCAAACGATGAAGGAGACATGGCAGGGGAATGGATGTGTGGCCTGACTCAAGGTGACGCCCATCACCTCCGCAGGAAGCTACTGATCCTACCGGCAATCCTGGTGCACTGAGCGGGCCATGGGGGCCTCCTGGGAGGCTGTCAACCCCAGGGCCTCAGTTCCTTGCCCCTGGGTGCATCTGAAGGTGCGAACAGCCTCCGGGGCTTCAGGAGGCGGGGAGAGAGAACAGGAGAGGAGACGGCCTGGGGCCAGGGTGTGTGTGTGTGGTGAGGGGCCCAGTGAGCCCAGGGGCCTGGTAGGTGAGCTGGGCCTCCCCTAGCACAAGCCTGGGCTTGGGCAGCCCTGGCCCCACCCCCATCTCTAGCTTCCCAGGGAGTGAGTCTTTCCTCAGTTTTCAAATATTATGATCAGCTGTCACTGTTCAGTCCTGAGCCTTGGCCCCAAGCAGACAGACTCAGACACCTCAGAAGGCATAACATTTCAGCAAACATTTATTGGCCTTGGTGGAGGCCAAGCACTGGGCTGGAAGGAGGCAGTGGCAGATGAACTGGGGAGAGTGATTGGCATTTGCCAGCCACACCCACTCCTCCAGAGGAAGGGGTACCACCCACTATTCAGCAGGCAACCTCTGCAAGACAAAAGCCAATATAAAAACAGCTGGGGGCTGGGGGAGGGACAGGGGACTGTCCCAGAGCCCATCTCCCTAGGGACTTCCAACTGAGGCCAGGGTCAGGGCAGGAATTCTGTGGGAGGTTAGGGTTAGGACCCTAGCACCCTGCTGTGAGAAGGGAGCACCCCACACTTGGGGCCCCAGGAAGCAGGTTCCAGCAGGCATCCTGGCTGGGTGTGGGGGAGGCTTGTGGGGGGCTCAGCTGTTCCTGAGACCCAGCTGCCCTCCCAGCCCAGGCCCACGCTCTGGAGGCCCAGCCTCAGCCTAGGCTATGCTTCCTGCGGCCTCCCTAATTCTAACCCATTAGATCAGTACGGATTGAGATTCGCTGTTTCAGGCAGGTGCTGAGGCCAGAGACGAGGGACACAGGTGTGGCCCATCTGGCTGGTCCAGACAACACAACACCAGCCTGCAGTGGGGTTGGATGATCCCAGAGTTGTGTGGAAAATAGAGAATTGCAGGGGGTAGGCTGAGAACAAGGGATAGCCTGCGCAGCTTGTCTGATGGGTGTGGTCCCAGAGCCTGAGAGGTCCCCAAAGGAGAGCTAAGCGGGGCCCTGGCTGCAAAGATCCCTTTTAGCAATGGGGGGGGGCGGAGATTAAGGTCTCTGGGGCATGGTCATCGGAGGTGGCTGCCCTCTTGTGGGGGAGGAGGAATAGGATGATCTACCTCCCCTGGGCCATACAGGTGGGGGTCCCTCCTCTCCCTGTAGGACATGTGGGGCCAGCTCTACCCACACACCCAGCTTCACTTCCCAAAGCACCCAGGCCCCCCTCCCGCCTTCTGCACTGAGGCCTTCCCTGGGCAGCTCCCTCCACCAGGTTGAGCTTCCCATTGCCCCCATGGAGACCCTCTCCAGCCCCCCTGCCGAGGAGGCCACAGCCTGACCCAGCCTGAACAACATCAACACCCTTCCGCCTCACGGAGCAGGAGGCGGTGCCCCAACTCCGAAGGGGGAAGGGCTACTCTGAGGCTCCCCTGGGCCCAGGGCCAATGAGCATATATCCAAGGGTGCAGGGTTTGGCCCACGTGGCTCCCCCCACCCATCTAGGCTCACTGAACCAGCCCTTGGATGCCCAGGAGGTGTGCAAGGCAGAGCTGGGGGTGACTGGCTTGGTGGGGACTTGGAGGTTCCTGCCAGGTATGCACGGTTGTGTCTGGGAGGCCCAGGTGAACCACACTCAGGTGAATGACACTCAGGTGTGTCCGGGAGCCTTGGAGGAGGGGATGGACCAGCCTGTGGACGGATGACTCACTGGCCTCCCCATGGACCCCAGCCAGGCAGGCTGTGGGCAAATGTCCGATGAAATCAGCCGAAGTTGGCAAGTGGATCTTGGTGCTGCCTCGAGCGGGGGCTCAGGATGAGACGCTCCAGTCTGGGCTCCTGTGCCTTGGACCAGCCCCTCATGGGACCTGGAGCGCAGCCCCCCAGCGCCTCCAGGGGCTAGGACAGCAGGATAGCGACTACAGAGGTTGCTCAGGGTGCACGTCCAGCGCTGCCTGGTATCCTCCATCACGCCCAACAGCAGGTGCTCAGGATTTGTGTGAGGGAGGAACCCTTAGTCTATACCCCCTGGGAGGAACCTCCCTTTCCAGGGAGGGGAGCTTATACAGCAAGACCCTGACTCCCTAGAGCGAATCCAGGCCCCTTGCCAGTGATGCTGTGCGCCTGCCTTCCAATGCTGGGATACATTCCGGAAAACCTGGTGTCTGAGCCTCCTGGGGGACCCCTCACACCCCCAGCTCCAGGCACGTTGCTGGCTCCTGTGCAGCCCAGGGCAGACCGGGGCCTCTGACGGCCAGGTGGAGGGGTGGGCAGCCCAGAGCTGGTGGACCCAGGGCGGCAGGACCGCAGTGGGCCTGGGCTGCCAGCTACCAAATCATAGCTTCACAGAGACAGAAAAAAACACAAACTCTTGACACAGCCTCTAGAAAGAGTGTTCTCTGGCACAGTCTCGGCAAAGGCCGGGGCCTAGAACTGGGCGCGGCCTCCGCTGCAGTCTGAAGGCCGCAGCCTCACCTCAGCCACGGTCTCCAGGGCCCGCCCTGGCCCTGCGGCCCCGCCCTGGGGTCGGCGGGGAGCGCCCGGGTCAGACCTGGCGGGAGCTGCGGCGCGAAAGCGGCCCCGGGGCGCAGCAGGGGGAAGGGGCAGTCCAGCGCGGGCAGCAGCGCGCGGCCTGCGTAGACCTCGGGCGCCCCAGCCTCCACGGCGGGGGCCGCGGGGGGCAGAGAGGCCGGGCGGCGGGAGGGCCCCAGCTGGCGCAGGCAGGCCGCCAGGTGGCCAAGCAGGCGAGAGCGCACGTCGGCCGGGACGCCCTCGCAGCCGGCCAGGAAGCGGCTCACCTCGGCCAGACACTCGTTGAAGCCGGCGCGGTACTTGCCCAGGACCGCGGGGTCGGCGCTGAGCGCGGCTGCGGGAGCGAAACGGAACAAGCTGTCGGTGCCAGGGACGGTGGTGCTGCTTGCCTCCCGCCTCCGGCCGCTGCCACCTGCGCCTCACCTGTCACGTGCACGCGACGCAGGTTCTGCAAATGTCTCACTGTCATCTCCAGGATGTCCGCCTTCTCCAGCTTCGAATGGCGGGAGCTCTGGGCAGGGACGGGGCGGTAGGTTGCAGCTCACCTGTGCCCAGACTCCAGGTCTCAGGCCTTCCGTCCCTCTCCGCCCCCGACTTACTTCTTTTCTGAGGGCGTCCAGAATGAGGGTCTTGAGCTGAGCGAGGCTCTCATTAATGCGCGCTCGGCGCCGCTTCTCCATGACCGGCTTGGAGGACTGCGGGCCAGGCAGTGGCTGAGTCCCACGTTCCTCTGTCCCCAGCGCCCACCCCTGTCCCCCCGCCCGGCCAGGACCCCACCTTGCGGTGCTCAGCCGCACTCCGGGGCTTGTCTGGGATCTGGCTGGTGCTGGCCGGCGCTCCTGCCAGCGGCGAGGCGCTCGACTTCCCCGGAGTGTCTGCAGGCATGGTGCGCCCCCGCGCCTCCCGGTGCCAGGCGCAGCCGCCGAGGCCCCAGCAGCGGCGAGCAGCGGCGGGCAGCAGCGGTTCTCGCCCCCCTGGCGGGTCTCCGGCTCCAGGCCCGCGCGCAGCGCCCGCCTCCTGGCTATTTAAAGCCGCGCCGCCGCCGGGTGTGTGAACCCGGCTCCGCATTCTTTCCCACACTCGCGCCAGCCAATAGGCGGCCGCGCTCCTCCCTCACCGCCCCAACCCCGCGCAGGGCCGCGGGCCCCGCCAGCTGTCACTCACGCGCCGGCTCCGTTCTGCGGCCCAGGCAGGCGACACTGCGAGCGCGGGCTCCCCACCCGCGCCCGCCTCTGGCATGGCTGGGGCGAGGGCGAGGGAAGTCTCCGCGCCCTTCCCCTGCAGAGCGTTCTAGGCAGCGCGCCAGGAGGGGAAGCTGGGGGCCCGCGGACCCCGGGAGCTGAGCACCGGAGGCTCCCTCTCCGCCAAGCTGGGGCAGGAGTGGGTCAGGGAGGGGGCTCACGGCGGGCGGCGCAGGAAATCTGAACGGAAATTTCTCCAGGGGCACCGGGTCAGGCGCCCGGAGGACTCAGCGGGCGTCGGCACACAGGCCCAGCGCGGGCCCGAGGCCTCTGCGCGTGTCGGGTTTGACCGGACGGGTGTGCCGCGCGGCGCCTGGCGCACCCTCGGCCCAGTGGCTGTGGCGGAAGCATCGCGGGACGGACGAGCCAACGCCAGCCGCGAGGCCGGAGAGAAGTCGCGGCCAGGTCGCGAGGCGGGCGGGGCACGTGGTGGAACAGTACGACAGGATGACGCTGGGGAGGTGGCGACGTCACCGGGGTGACGTCGCGGGGTGACGACTCTAGCCGCCTGGGACGATGTCACCGGGCCAGTGATTACCCACTAGCGGGCGAAGCATCCGCAAAGGGGTCACGAAAAATAAGGCACAATTGTTAAATCCTGTCTGGGAAAAGCAGGGCGAGGATTACCTCCACGTTTGCTGTTGCTTTCATTTTGAATTACGCCGCGGCCCGTGCAAGCCCTTTCGGGACTCAGGGCCTGCGTGGCCGGCGGCGTCGTGCGCCCCCCACCGAGGCCGCCGTGGCCGGGCCGCGCCCCGGGCTGCGACCGTCCCGGACTCCTCCGGCCCGCGGAGGCCCCACGGCAAACCAACCCAGCAATCGCGCCGTTGTAGGGGAGAGCTGGGCAGGTTGCCGGGGCGGGGAAAATCTCTCCACCTGGTCCCGACGGCTTCCGGGGGGCGGCCTTCAACGGAAGGCAGCTCTGCCGCCCTGGCGGGAGGGCGTGGCATCCCCAGGCTGGGAAAGGGCCGCTGAGACGAGAGACCAGGGACGGGGGCTTCTGGCCCGGAGGGGACTGGGGAGTCTTGGGGGGACCCTTCTGAGCAGGGGAGTAAACGTGTGCCGCCGCCGGCTGGAGGTCAGCCCTACCCAACACCCGCTCCCTGGGTCCCTGGCCCGAAGCCTCCCCTCTCCTCTCGGAGGCCAAGCCTAGGTTGGGCCTAAGTGAAGTCCGGGCCCCACCGGGAGCCCCCCATGGTCCCTGTGCAGATCCGATCCCTCCGCGGCGTCCCGATGCCCCCACCCCACGCCGTCTACACTGGGGTGCGCGCCTCCGGACCGGCGCAAGGCAAGACTGTCCCTCTCCAAGGCGAGGCTGCCCTCGTCCCTCTCTGGCCCCAGAAGCACGTGCAGAGCGGGGGACCTCACAAAGCCGCCAGGCCGGGAAGGTCGACGAAAGTTCGCGGACAGGAACCCGCGAGCACCGGAAGCCCTGGCAGCGCCGCCGGGACCCTGCTCGCCTGCCCCGACCTCTGCTCCGGCCTGGGCGCTGGGGCAGCGCGGCTCAGACCTGCGGTCGAGGAGGGTGCCTGGACCGCCCGCCCCCGCCCTTCCTCTGGCTGCGGGCTGCGCCAGGCTGGGAACCCGCGAGAGCCCCCACTGGCCAAGGTCGCCTCCCCCTCCTGCTGGGGGGTCTCCCCAGGGGCGTGGCCAGCCTGCGCCGCCCCAGCCCCCAGTGCCCGGCCTTGGAAGGGGGTCTGCGGCTCTGGGCCTCCCCCAGCCTCCCGCAGAGAGACAGGCAAAGGTTCAAGATGAAGGAGGGGCCTGAGCAGCTCAGGTGGGCTCACTTATCCTCCTTGTCCCCATTTTCTCACCTGCGAGCTGAGTTATCTTTTCATTTATCCCAGGGTCATTGGGAAGATAAATGAGATCCTACCTCTAGAGCTGGCTGACCGTGCCCAGTGGGCGCCGGCGCGCTCAGCTACCGCCCTGCTGCCTCCAGAAGCAGGCAGGCGTCTGGGCTGGACACCCAGCAGACTGAGGCAGAGAGGAGCTGCCTGTACTCACTCTCTGTGCCACATGCCCTGCCTGAGTGCCCCTCCTCCTGCCAGAAAGAAAGGGAAGTCCCACCCCAGGAATCCCGCCCCAGGGTCTCAGGGCCCCTGTCCTAGCCCCCCAGCCCCAACCCCAGCAAGGAGCTCTTTCCAGTCCAGGGAACGCCGGGCTTCCTCTGTTCTCCCCAGCATCTCGTGTCCTTGTCCCTGGGCTGCACCCCCGTCTGTATGGCTGTGTCTCCCAGGGTCTCTGCCCCATCCTTCTGACTGTCCCTCCTCGCCTCTCAAATCCAGCCTAGATCTCTGGAAACCTGGGGGTCCTTGGGGTTCCCTTGCTCTGACTGGGGAGGGAGGATCCTGGGCTACAGCAGGGAAAACTCCTGATGCCCTGGTGTGGCAGATGGCATTTCCAAAAGGTGGCCACATCTTTCTTGTCTCCCCGCCCCCACGCCGTGTGTCCTCAGTGAGACTCTGTGACAGCCTCCAGTAAGAACAGAGCAGTTGGCAAGACGTCATCTCTGAGACTAGGGTTTGAAGAGGCCACGCATGTCCATCTGGTTGTCTTGGGACACCTGCTCTTGGAACCCAGCTGCCATTTGGTGATGAAGCCCAAATGGGCCCCAGGAAGAGACCCCGTGCAGAGGCCTCTGTACAGCAGCCAACAGCCCCTCCGAAGTCCCTGCTGACAGTCAGCCTTGGCTTCCTCACACGTGAGCAGGGCAAGGCACCTCCCTTCCCAGCTTCCTGGCCGAGGTCCCAGGCATGGCTGAGCAGAGCCCCCACACGCCCTGTTCCAATACATGATGGCTGATGAGCACATGTTTCGGGTCGTCTGCGGTGCTGCATTAGTACTGGAATAGTGTAGATGGGCCCTGGACGCAGGGACAGCGGACCTTCCATCCCTGCCACTCCGTCCTCCTGAGTCCCTCCCCTCTCCAGCACTTGCACAGCCTCAGCGGCTTCCTTGCCCTTCCCTCCCGTCTGACCACGTGCTTCTTGGGACCCACCCAAGGCCAGCTACCCTGCTGACCTGAGTGGGCCGAGCCCTGGGGGCCCCAGGGGTATCTCCAGGGCCCGTCGTTGGCTACAGAGCGGTGGGCGGCTGCGGCATCCACGTGTCTGCGGGGAGCCTCTGGGGCAAAAACAGGCCAAACTGGGGCTCCAGCCTTGGCGTGGGGGCTCCTCATATCTGGTCACCGTGACTGGACTGTAGTCTACACCCCGACACTCAGCCAAGGTCCCTGAGGGCCTGCTAGTGCGGCTGCACACTCCCCTTCCCACCTCTGACCAGAGCTGGTGACTCCTTCACACCCTGCCCGGCAGGGAGCTCCTCTGGTTCAGGCTCCAGAATGTCAGAGACCTGTAATCTGCCCCACCCCCAAGCGCCCTCCTCCGTCTCTGTCTGTTCCCTCTGCCCCTGCCAAGGGCTTCGGCAGCTGGGATCAAAGTTGTCAAGCGACCAGGGCTAGGGCCATCATGGGTTTCTCTCCTGGAGCGTGGAGTTGGGCGCTGAGCTGTTCGTAGGTGTTTGCTGGAATCGTAAAGTGACGGAGGCCAGGATGCAGGAGAGAGACCCAGGACCCTGACAGGGACAGGGAGCGCCAGGCTGCTCCAGACACTGCTCTAGGACAGTTGGCACCACCTGGGATGGCGCCGAGCTGCGCACACGGGGCTGCCGTTGTTGGGCGGCCTTGCAGTCTGCCGCGTGGCCTGGGCCCTGCCCAGACTAGACCGGCTCCCTCCTGAGGCCTGGCCAACGTTCCGGGAGGGTGAAGGGGAAGCTCAGGGGCTTTTGCGGCCTGAGTCTGGAACTCGCATGGTGAAACTTCCACCACATTCTGTCGGCCAAGCCAGGCCGCAGGCCCACAGAGTTCCAGGGAAGGGGCCATAGAACGCTGAGGCCATGCCAACCATGCCAGCCGCCACCCCCTCCTGTGACGACCTGCAGCTGCACGTGGCCGGGGAGGCACCACCCCTCTCTCTAGAACGCACCCGTTAGGTGCCAGGATGCACCTTTGGCAGACCCAGCGGTGGCTGAGGCAGCGGCTCTCTCATCTGTGCCACCAGCGTCCTGCCTGGGGCCACTCTTCCCTGCCCTGGTCTGTACTCGAAACTGCTCAGTGTGTCTGTCCCTTCTCCTACCCCCCCCCCACCTCAGGACTTCACATCCTCCTTTCCTGCTCCGGTTTTCTTCTTCGTGTGCACCCCTGGCAGCACCTGCCTCCTGTGCCTGCGGACCTCACATCTGTCCACGGCACTGGAGTGTGGTCCTGCAGCATCTCCTGGTGCAGACTGTGCCTTCATACGACACAACAACCCAGTAAGTGAATGAATGACAGAGAGCGTGTCCCCCACGTCCGGGCAATGGAAATCCGGGTGGTGACAGAAGCCCCTGACGTCTGGGCAGCGGGGGTGGACTCTCTAAGGTCTGTGGTCAGGACGCGGCTTTCGCCCAGAGTGAGGGCGTGCGCTGCTCACAGACAAGGACGGCAGCAGGCGTGGGAGCCCTTGAGGACAAAGCCCGTGGGCACCGAGGGGGCGGGCGTGCAGACATGAGATGGAGTCAGGTGCGAAACCCGCGGACGCTGCTCCGAGTGGCGAGATGTGTGTCCCCAGGACGGAAAGCCGCGCATCTGCTGGCGTCACACCACACGTTAACTTGCAGCTGCAGAGCTGGACATCTCGGTGGCAAACAGGACATCAGCAAAGGCCCCTCTCTCCAAGGGACCTTCGAGGACAGGAGGCTCCGGTCCTGATTTCCAAGTTTGAGATGGTCCTCAGCTCTGGAGCCTGGCTCCTTCCCTCGGCCCAGCGGTGGAGGCCTCACCCCAACCG